ACCCTCAACTTCCAGCCGCAGAACTATAAGAAATACATTTCTGCTGTTTAAGCTCTCTCTCTAGTCTGTGGGTTTTATGGCAGTCTGAGCTAAGTCAGTGTTATTTCCAAATGGAAACAAAATGATTGTTTTCCGGAGCCCAGGGTTTGAAGACTTCTCCGCACAATTTTCAACAGGCAGCGTCTCTAAGGTTCCACGGGGCCTTCAGGATCAGCTCCAGGATCCTCCTGGATAAAATCAAAGGGGGAAAACTTCCTCCAACCTTGTTTGGCTAAAATCTTCGTCTTCAGTAACCCCGTCTGATACGATATTCTGAAACTGAGAGTTAGCATAAGCTGTGTATCATGACCTGGCTGGGGAGTTAAACAGTCTGTTTAAGTTCTAGATTGGCCGCCTACTACATGCGCCTCAGTTTCCTCATTGCTCATATTTTCATTTCACAGTTATTGAACACATGTGATGTCCTTGGCAATGTGCTAGCTAGGCAGAGAGAGAGACAGAGAGAGTCACAGTTCCTGCCTCTCGAGCTACTACAAGCAACAATTTCCACAAGGAGGGGACTTGTTAAGAAGATGGCTTAGAAACCTGACCTTGAGATTTCAGTGGACCAACAAACATTGCCCTACAGCACTTTCTATATCTGCACTGTCCGGTGTGGCGGTCACTAGCCACATGTGGTTACTGACAACTTGAAATGTATTTAGTTTGAGGAACTGAATTTCATTTTAATTAATTTAAGTTTAAATGGCCATGCATTGGCTCTCATGGCTCTCCTGTTGGTTAGCATAGCTGTGCACCATCCAAAGGGAGATGCCCAACACTTGCGAGCTCAGGAAGAAATGCAGGACTGTGGGAGACAAGTGTGAAGTTATGGCCGTTGTTGAATGTGAAGAGTGAGAAAGAAAAGATTAAAATGACATAGGTCCCTGGAACACTGTAGGCTCAAACATGTTGGTAACATTTTTTGTTTGTTTTTGTTTTATTTTGTTTTTTGAGACAAAGTCTCACTCTGTTATCCAGGCTAGTGTGCCATGGCGTCAGCCTAGCTCACAGCAACCTCAAACTCCTGGGCTCAAGATTTCCTCCAGCCTCAGCCTCCTGAGTAGCTGGGACTACAGGCATGCGCCACCATGCCCGGCTAATTTTTTGTATATATTTTTAGTTGGCCAATTAATTTCTTTCTATTTATAGTAGAGACGGGGTCTTGCTCTTGCTCAGGCTGGTTTCAAACTCCTAACCTTGAGCGATCCTCCCACCTCGGCCTCCCAGAGTGCTAGGATTACAGGCGTGAGCCACTACGCCTAGCCTGTTTTTTTTTTTTTAAAAAAGTCTAGCTCTGTGCCCTGGGTAGAGTGCAGTGGCATCAGCCTGCTCACAACCACCTCAAACTCCTGGGCTCAAGCAATCCTCCTGCCTCAGCCTCCTGAGTAGCTGGGACTACAGGCATGGGCCACCATGCCCGGCTAATTTTATATATATATATATGTGTATGTATTTTTTAGTTGTCCAGCTAATTTCTTTCTTTCTTTTTTTTTTTAGTAGAGACGGGATCTGGCTCTTGCTCAGGTTGGTCTCGAACTCCTGACCTCAAGCAATCCTCCTAGAGTGCTAGGATTATAGGCTTGAGCCACCACGCCCAGCCTGATAACATTTCTTAATGAGCAAACTGCCTATATGTAGGGGACTAGTTAAAAATACCCTGGTCCTTCCCACAAGGAATACTGTGGAGCATAAACAAATATGAGGAAGGGCCAGATTGTTGACATGGAAATATCTCCAGGGTGAGTAAAGTGAAAAAGCAAGCTACAGGACCAGGTATATAGTATGCTACTTTTTGTGCAAAAGGGTGAGAAATTACAAACTCATTGTGTTCGCATAAACACTGGCAAGATAGTCTGGAAAGACACTAAAAAGTGGTTAATTATAGGAGTAGGACAGGGCACAGAAGGGCAAGACAGATGTGGGAGGAGTCTTTTAAAAATTCTTTTTAAACCATATGAGATTACTGCTATTAAATTTATATATCTCTAATCTGTAACAGGATTACAGTTTTAAAAATTACATATCTCTATCTCCTATGTATCTGATTTAGAATAAGACAGACAAAGGCAAGATCAGGAAACCTGAAAAAAACAAAGATGTACAGTGAAAGGTGGTGACAGACCAGAGACAATCCTGCCCCAGAGAGCCACCCCCTCCAGCTACACCCTCTGTGTCGCCTTTGCTCAGGGCACCGTGTTGGGGGCAGTGTGCCAAGGAGCTTGGGCCTGATGGACCAGAAAATGAGGAGGAACCAGAAAGAGTCATGGTAGCCCATTTCATATTTGAAATATTTCAGAAATTTCCATTAACATCAGGGCTAACTTTTTCCCAGGCTGTCACTTCAAGTAGAAATGAAGAGATGGGTACAAAGAGAGGAAAGAGGGAGGATGAGGACTGAGGCTAGAACTCATATGTGCAATGACCTGGTAAAATCATGGTTTTTTTTTCCCTCCTCATTCTCCCTGGAAAACCATCTAAATTTGTGTCCTAAGCATTCACAAGCCATTTTGTGTAGCAGCATGCTTAAATATTTCATTGTCCCATTTTAAAAGAACATTTATAAAATGATAATATTGACACTTGCTGCTATGTGCTGGGCATTTTACCTGGAAACCTCAACTAGTTTCTGAATTCCAGAAATCTTCGTGTTCTCAGGCCCGCAGAAGAGTCGTGCTGCAACACAGGGTGTTCAGTAAATACATGATAATGGGTGGTCCCTGTGTTGAAGTCACTCTGAGCCTTTGGTGACTTTCTGGATTACAGCACCTGAGCGGTTTGCTCATTTAATGCATTTGTAATGTGTATACTTGGTCAGTAGGTGGTGCCATGGAACCACCTAAAGTTATCAGCCCCCCAATGGCAAATCCTTCATTTGTTTTGGCACCCCAGGTTTCTGTGGATGAAGGAAGAGTCTGTTTGTTGATAAAGACTTAGACTTTCAAAGAATACACACTGACTGTGATAACAAGGCGACCAAAGTGGGAAAGGAGGCAAAATGATCCAATATATACCAGGAGACAAGGAAATGTGTCTCGGGAGGTAGGACGGAAACTGGCAAGCCCCTAGCTGGGCCCACATGGCCAAGTTTAAAAGAGGACTGTGGCCTGGAGGGAGGCAGGTATTACACATATGGTACAAGTTCATGGGCAAGAGCCATTCTATCTGGAGAAGGAGCAAGAGGCTGAGGAAATGGGCAGCTTGCAGCATTCCAGGGTTTTCTCTGTGGAGCAAAATGTGTCTTACTTACTTATAGTAACAGAGTAACAATTGACAAGCATCAACTTAACTGATAAATTATGTTTGGTACAATAAAGAGGACATTTTTAAAAAAGCCTCCACTCAGTGGTTGTGGAAAAACAGCTATAAGGTCAAAGTAACCAAAGAGTTCAAGTCAAAACATATTTATGGAAACTATTGTCAGCACGAGAGGAGAAAATTATATAATTCAAGAATTGAAAGATGGGCTGGGCATGGTGGCTCACGCCTGTAATCCTAGCACTCTGGGAGGCTGAGGAAGGAGGATTACTTAAGATTAGGAATTTGAGGCCAGCCTAAGCAAGAACAAGACCCTGTCTCTACTAAAAACAGAAAAATTAGCCGGGCATGGTGGCGCATGCCTGTAGTCCCAGCTACTCTGGAGGCTGAAGCAGGAGGATCACTTGAGCCCAGGAGTTTGAGGTTGCTGTGAGCTAGGCTGACACCACTGCACTCTAATCTGGGCAACAGAGTGAGACTGTCTCAAAAACAAAAAAAGTAAGAGGAGACACATGGCAAATCACTGGCAGAAAAGGGTTGGAACCCAGGGATTTTTGCCTCAGTTGAACTATCACTTTATTTCTGCACCTATGATGCTGCCTAAAGGAAGTGAATAATGCTAGTTCATTTTTTTTATGCTCTACTAAACTTCTGATCAAAAAGAGCATTTTGCAGGCCTGTTTTAGATTTTTAAATTACTCTTACAGAAATCTTCCTGTCAATGACCACTAATATGTCCCTGATCACTAAAAAGTATACAAAACTGTGTCACAAAGAATCCATTTGGTGTCGGGCAGGTGGGAGAAAGGGGATGGGTGTATACATACATAATGAATGTGATGCGCACCAACTGGGGGCTGGACACGCTTGAGGCTCTGACTTGAGGGGGGAGGGTAGGCAAGGGCAATATACATAAACTTAACATTTGTACCCCTACAATAGCTGGGGAAAAATAACATTATTGAGAAAAGAATGTTGTAGTTAATGAAAAATTCTAGTTAAATTTTTCTCTATATCCTGCATTGATTAGTATTTTAATACAACTTACAAAAACTGAAGTGTTCTTCGTATTACAAAAAAAGAATCCATTTGGTCAGCCAGGCACCTTAGTCAAAAAGAACCCCCATGTGAAAAAGAAAAACCAAGCTGTAGGAATTAAACTCTGACTCCAGCTCTCATCCTGACTTTTAGGCTCTTCCTGCTACTTTCCATGTGTCTCGTTATCACCATGACACTGAGAAGAGCAGGAAAGCCTAGCAAAGAGTTGTGAACACATACTTTTCAACCTGTGAATATAAGCTAGCTTTAAAATGTGCACACTGAGGCAAGAGACGGGGTCTGTTTCACTGTTATATATTCTGTCTGTGCTGCTGCTGAGTCAGTAGCAACACCAACAACAGATCCAGGTAGCTGACCAGTCCAGGTGGCCAGACAGTATAAACCCCACCCTCCTGCAGCCCCCCTGTGCTCAGCTCTTGGGTCTCGTCATGTGTCCTAGTGTATGGTGCATGTAGGGTGTCTGCAGTATACCCTTCTCCGCCTGCAAGCTCCAGCTCTACCCTAGGACGAGAGTTTACGTGGAAACTTACTTGGCTCCAAAGAACTGACGAGCTCAGTTGCCAAAATGAAAACTATTATCACAGAGCAGGACAGCAGGAACTCTCTGAGGGATGGGACTTGCAAAGAAGAAGGTGACACTTGCATTTCTCTACAAATTATCTTTTATTTCTGTAGCATACAAAAGGTGTAAATATGATTTATGTAAAACCAATCACCTGCACACTCAAGCAGAAAGAATGTGAAACTGGGATGTATGTCTCCCAGCCAGGGGAAGGAGGAGGAAGCAAGATCAGGTCCAGGCTGCCCACTGTAGGGTCCCCTTCCCCAGATGCAGTGATGTTGCACCTGGAGATAAGTGAACAGCTGTGTCCAACAGGTGGCAGTGCCTCAGGAAGGGGCAACGGAGGTGTGAAGGGCTTTGGGGCACTTCTAGAAAGGAGGCACTTGATGGCAAGCATGCCTGAGATGGAAACCAGTCATGCTGAAACCACGCAGGGCGGACCTGCCAGCAGGGGATGCGCCGAGGGTCTTGGCATCTCCCTGATCTCTTTCCTTCAAGTGGTTATTTGATGTGGAGTGGGAGCAACAGGTGCAAGGACGCAAAGGCAGTCCACAGAAGGGAAACATGATGGAGCAACGGCCACGGCTCCTTGGCCCATGCTGGCTAACAGCGCAGCGCACAGGCTGAAGGCAGGGCGCAGAGCGTTCTTGCATTCTCAAAGTTCAGAAACAGTCTGGGACGAGCGAACTGGTACAAGAGTCACATGATTTGAGAGGTGCCAATAATCTGAAAGACTTAGTGAAAATCTTCTGATCTGTGATGAAAAGTGACAGGAGCATGACCTGCACCAACAAACCAGGTGCTGGGGAGCTGACAATCCTCATGTCAAGAAGGCCCAAGCTCTGCCCAATGAGGCCTGCAGAGCTTGAGAGGCAGCTGGCTGGTCCTCACCAGGGCCTTTCCTGCCACCTCTCTTGATAATGACAATAAAAAAGGGTCTGCACATGATGCCTACAGGTGTGTATGTCCCTCCACACTAATGGCTCCATAGTGACACAGCTGTGGGAGGCACTCTTGGGTTGAAAATGAAGGCAATTATCAAATTACTCTCAGTCTTAACTAGACTAAGTCACCTCTGGAGTTTATGCTTTTAGCCTTAACTGAAATGAAGACAATTATATAAAATTCTCTCATAATTGATCACAAATCTGGCCAGAGCCATTTTGATCAAGTTGGTTCCAGCCAACCTGCTCTGAGGGAAGGAAGGGAAGACAGGACTGTGACTCAGTGCCTTCCTGGCCCTGGGGCGCAGCAAGCTCTGGGAAACAAATACCATACTTGCTCTGATAAAGAACATATAGTTCCAGATTTGTTTTGTAGTAGGCATAAGTTCTTTTCTTAGGGTGGGTAAAGTGGCTGTCATCACTTTCTCCTGTGGGTAAGGTGGGTGAGACAGCAGAATTAAGTCACCTTAGTGACTTAATTAGTTAAATGATCCCTATGTTTGGGTTTTCCCAGTGTTCATGGTAGATGGTACTCTAGAAACCAATGTCACCAAAACAAGGTGAATCTGTGTAACTAACAGTGGATGTGGCATCTCGTTAGAGACAATCTGTAGGACTGTTACTTTCTAAATATAAACCAATTTTGAAAGATGCTCAAGCCTAGAGTATATGGATACACCTGAAGCAGGGGTTGGCAAACTACAACCCACAGGCCAGATTGGGCCTGATGCCGTTTTTGTCAGTAGAGTCTTACTGGAACACAGCCACACGCGCTCACTTGTGAATTGCCTACGGTGGCTTTGCACCTACGGTGGCTTTGCACTGCAAGGGCAGAATCGACTAGCCGGGAGAGAGACTATCTGGTCATTTGCAGAAAAAGTTTGCAGACTCCTGCCCTGGAAACTAAAGGCAATTTAGGGAACTGTCTTCCTGTGAAAAGATCTTTTAAAAAAGAGATCCAAGTATTTAATCATTAGAACCTGATTCTACTGCAAGTTTCCAAGCATTGGAAAACTCACTCTTGAGGCACAGAAACTGTTGGGCAGTAACGTCATGAGTCACCAATGTGATAAGAACCTCTCTGTGCTTTAAGCAATCTCTCACCCACGCTAAGCTGTGATCCCTGACCAAGTCTATGAAACCCAGAGAAGGAGTATGTGTGTGTCTATGTGTGTGTTTGTGTACACACACATATACTCACATACATACATACATTCAGGGACCATTCCAAAGGGGGCTCTTCATGCCCTGGCAAAGGGGCAAGGGCAGCAACTATCTGCTCCCGAAAGCTCTGTAGTGAGGAAGCCCAGCTCCACGCTCGCTTCTGCTCTCATTCACACGCTAGCTTGCTGTCAAAGCTGGAAAGCCCAATGGCAAAGGCCTGAAGCGCACACAGTGGGTAGTTGTAGTCCAGTGTGAACACGTCATCTGCCACACGTCCAAACTGCATGACTATATAGTCAGCTAGAAAGAGAAAGGAAGCAGGGTGTTAGAAGATAATGTGGTTATACTGGGGAAAAACCTGTTCAAGACACAGAAAGAATCCTCCAAATAGGTCAAATCACCAGGTCTCTTTAAAAGGAAACTTTTAAAGGGTGAAAAGAGCTATTAAGAAGAGCATCTGCTAGCCATAAGCAAAGTTTCTATTAGTATTCCTCTCATCTACAGAGAACAGGAGACTCCCTGATAGCATGAAAGAGCAAGAGGAGAGAAAAGGGCAGCTTGTTGGGGATGGCACAAGCTCCACGGGCCAGAGTTACCAAGAAACCTTTATTGAAAGTCAGTTGCCTTTGCTTCCCAGACAGCCGACCCTGAGACTTCTCTGATTTGCCACAGCACATCTCTCATGCTGCTCTCATCCTCAACATAGTAAGTTAGCAGTTTTCCCCTAAAACTGTAGTTGTGTTTTTCCAAAGAAATCTTTTAATGCTAATTCCCCATCCGGCAAGAGTGTCTTTCCTCCTATTTCCTATCCAACCCTCCCTACAGGCTTACGGTCATTTCCGTGGACTATCTGAAAGTTCTTCACAGACGCCTGGGTGACCCGGCCATGGAAGTTCAGGACGTAGGACTGGGTGTCATCGTTCCATGCTGGGGCCTTGTTATGCAGTTCAATCAAGTTCTCCATGGTTTTGTTTTGCCATTTTGAAAGCAAGCTCTCATGGTCCTGTTCAAATGAAAAATCATAACTTTTTACTAACAACCCCAAGATCTCATTCATTCTCATCTCTGTGAAGTAGAAGGTAGAGCTGAGCAATATTTTCTCCATTTCAGAAAAGGAAAAACAGAAGCAAAGAATTAAAGCAGACATTAAGGAAGGTTTTTTAAAATTCTTACACACTAGCCAGCATTTCTCTTTGTAGACAAAGTGTTTTCAAATCAACGACTTTAGCAACAGTCTGCAACAGCACCTATCCTGAGGGTTTGCACCGATGCTCTCCTAAAGAAGAGTATGAGCCAGACTCCAGTTTAAAGTTCTTGAATTATCAATACTTTTTTGTATTGATCTCTCTGTATTGTATTATTGTCTTTTAGAGTCCTTTGCTGATTGAATATGTTCTTTCTTACATTTCGTGGTCGAAATGGGATCCGTTCATGATTCATATTCATCCCTGGAATGATCACAGACATTTTCCTAGGACCTTTAAATCCAAGTACATTTGTTTCCTGGAAGATAGGAAAATAAGGCAGAACTTAGAAAGGCAAGAGAGACCACATTCTGTTACAACACAAGACTTTCTTGGGCACGTACAATGTTAGCAATGTCATAAGCACCACAAACAATGTTATTACTTTGCTGTAGTTAAGCAGAGAATCAAAAACAGGAAAGTATGGGTTGAAAGGCATATGGCAAAAAAACAACAAAAAAAGAAGAAAAAAAAAAGAAGGCCAGCGCGGTGGCTCACGCCTGTAATCCTAGCTTTCTGGGAGGCCGAGGTGGGCGGATTGCTTGAGGTCAGGAGTTCAAAACCAGCCTGAACCAGAGCGAGACCCTGTCTCTACTATAAATAGAAAGAAATTAATTGGCCAACTAATATATATAGAAAAAATTAGCCGGACATGGTGGCGCATGCCTGTAGTCCCAGCTACTTGGGAGGCTGAGGCAGAAGGATTGCTTGAGCCCAGGAGTTTGAGGTTGCTGTGAGCTAGGCTGACGCCACGGCACTCACTCTAGCCTGGGCAACAAAGTGAGACTCTGTCTCAAAAAAAAAAAAAAAGGAAACAGGAAAGTAACACTGTACTTCTTTTTAAACTTTCAACACTTGCAAGTAAAACAGATTCTGTTGACTTGAGACTTTACTCTTACTCTTTAGTCTTAAGTGAAATTTAAGACAATTGTGAACAAATTGCCAAATCTATCGCTATCAATAAATATTTCCCAATGAGGGCATGGTGCTATATAATATACAGTGAGAATTAGTTTTAATTAAATAGGGCCTGTACCAGGAAGTTAAACATTCAAATGTCTGTCAAGCCAGGCAGATTATGAGCATATATAAGTACATTAAATAGGTGGATATATGTATGTGTGTGCATTCATATACATACATATGAAAGCAATAGAAGAAAAATATTTTATATCATAAAGTGTTAAATCGAATAGTTCTCAGGCACTTAGAGCCAAATGATGAGATTAATTTCAATTCATCGAAAGTCGAGACTTTGAATCAAAGGAACTGAGTTGGGTTGATTACTTCTTGCTTTCTTTTACTCAACAAGTCTTTGAATGCCTACTATGCGCCAGGCCATGTGCTAGTGTGTATACAGCAGTGAACAAGAGTTCACAAGAGTTACAAACTGGAAGAGAAAAATAATAATAAATATAATATGTGGGTTACAGATGCCAGGGGGATATATAAACAAAGGAATGTCAACTGTATCTACTGGAACACATCAAGAAAGACTTTGATTAGGCAAAAGACAAGGAGGGGGAAAAGGAAAGGCTCTCAGGTGAGTAAAGATGAGTGTTGTTAGGCAAAGGTATTACAGCAGGGGAGATGCCACTAGGGGAGCCTGAACGGAAAGGCTAACATGTTAGGGCACCATTCTTTTTTCCTGTTAACTCAGTTCAGCCAGGAAGGGTTCTATTCTGTATGCAATGGGCAGTCATTAAAAGATCTGAAGTGGGAGAACAATAGATCAACTGGAGCCCATTGTGGAAGATTTACTTGGCAGCAGTACAAAATGAACTAGATAGGAAAAGACTAAAAACAAAGAAATCAGTTTTAATTTATTGTAACCTCTGTCCAATAGATAAGAGGTAAAGAAGGCCTGAATTAAGGAGCATTAGGAAAAGAAAGAAGGAAAAGAAGAAATAGTACAAAAGTGAAAAATAATTAAACTTGGCAATTTATAAATAATTAAAACTTGAATACATGTAGAAATGGGGATCACAGAAATAGAAGCAAGCTTGAAGGGGAAGATGCTGCGTGCAGCACTGGTCACACTGAGTTGAAAGAGCCAGCAGGACGTCCAGGAGGGTCGGGGAAAGGCACCGCACGAGCATGGCACTCACGTAGCAGATGGCAGCCAGCTCCTGGCGTGTGTGGGCCTTTTCCACCAGACCTTGGGCCTTGATTGGGCTGACACCGTGGTCATAAACTGTAAACTTGGTCCCCATGAGGTTAGATCTAGAATTGGGAGAAAAAGTCACCAGGGTGATCTATATGTTTTCTCTTCTACAAACACAATCTAGGAGAGGTAAAGGTAGAACGGAAGCCTATTGCCGGTTCTCTAAATGCCTAAATGTTCATCATCACTTTTTCAAAGATCTCTCATTAAAACAAGGAAGGGACTTAGATTCTCTTTTACCTTTTTTTAAAGATTAAAACATCAATGCATGATAATTGTAAAAAATGATGTGGACTGTTCTAAAACTATAGGAATAAAAGAATCAGAACAGTGGAACATTTCCTATCAGAAAGAACAGGACAGCGATATAAGGCTGCTTGCACCTGAGTTTGCCAATATAACTTTCTCCTTCACGAGATAAATCTGTTGGGTCAGTGGAGATAAGGTAGTTGGATGTTTTGCTCTTTTTCCGCTTTCTGCCTGCAAGAAGAAATACCTGGAAAAAGAAGAAAAAGTCAGTCAAAAATGAAGTCAAGAGAACCCTATGGCTGTTCTATCTATGCATTAGCAAGAGTTTAGCAAGGGCCTATCATGTGTCAAGCAGTCAATCTTTGGGTCTTGATCCCTTTTTCTAACCCTCAGTGTTTCTCAGCATTCACTCAGAGTTTCCTTCCTGTACAATTTTTCTAAATTCACTGGCTTGATTCTCCATATGATTATTTACAACTTCATCCCTAAAACTTCCAGTTAAAAATTTTTCATCCAATGCCATGAGTCTTTCCAAATTTAGGAGAGAAGATCCTGAATACCTTCCCATCCTTTACTGCGATGGCTTTCTTAATAAACTTTTTATATTTTGTTATTGTTGTATTAAACCCCTGTTATATCAATGATATGAACACATCATATTTATGCATCTGCTCTGAACTCTATTAGACTTGGGCATAACAGGAAAGCAGAGTGGCAGTGGCTAGGCAACGGGACTTTTAAATCAAACAGAAATGGGTTTCAATTTGGTTCCACCACTCATTAGTTCATTTAGCAAGTATTAAATTGCCTCACACTTATAAAATAAATTAGACGTTCTAGGGTGAGAAACAAGACACTTAACATGCAAGTCCTGTATTTCCAATTCCTTCTGTTCCCTAAAACTTGCTCTTCTTCTTCCACAATGTCATGTTCTACCATAATAAAAAGAAAAACCAGGCTGGGTACGGTAGCTCACACCTGTAATCCCAGCACTTTGGGAGGCCCAGGCAGGAGGATCACTTGAGACCAGCCTGGGCAACACAGCAAGACCTCATCTCTACAAAAAGTTTTAAAAAACAGCCAGGCATGGTAGTGCGCACCTGTAATCCCAGGTACTTGGGAGGCTGAGGCTGGAGGATCACTTGAACCCAGGAGTTGGAGGCTATAGTTAGCTATGATCATGCCACTGCACTCCAGCCTGGATGACAAAGCAAGACCCTGGTCTCTAAAATGAAAAGTAATAATAAAGAGAAAAAGAAAAACCAGGCCAGGCGTAATGGCTCACGCCTGTAATCCTAGCACTCTGAGAAGCCAAGGTGGGTGGATCGCTTGAGCTCAGGAGTTCGAGACCAACCTGAGCAAGAGTGCGATGCGGAGACCTCGTCTCTACCAAAAATAGAAAAAATTAGCTGGGCATAGTGGCACATACCTGTAGTCCCCGCTTCTCAGGAGGCTGAGGCAGCAGGATTGCCTGAGCCCAGGAGATTGAGGTTGCTGTGAGCTAGGCTGACACCTCGGCACTCTAGCCCGGGCAACAGAGTGAGACTCTGTCTCAAAAAAAAGAAAAAAGAGTTGTTTCAGGAATTGATTCTCATACCTTCCGATTTTCATCTTTTTCCAAGTGCATATAGTAGGTGGGGAAGATACCCCGATCCATTCCTTTTTTATCCCTGGTTATGCGACACTTTACTGTGATTCCTCGAGGGGCAGGACTATATGCAAAATCCACTAAATTCTCCACTTCTCCCAGGTGGTTATCAGCCTGTTGGGCTGCAGTACTGGAAGCTCCTGTATCCTGAAAGGACATATATAAGCAATAAGAGGCTGAATCAGAAAACCTCAGATGCCCTGCAAGAAAAACTTAACGGACAAAAAACTTATTGATTTACCCCTATGTCTTCAGTCTTCTGACAAAATAAAGGGAAACCCTGAAAAGTTAAATAGGAATACTGGGAGTAATGAAGGACTAAGTAAGAAAAAGGGATATAGCCTCCTAATAATAGTTCACCTGAGACAGAAGACAGAGAGATCATAACCTTTAAGTTTAAATTTGTGCTTAAGTCTTTTGAAGGAACCCTCATTAAATAACAGTGCTTAAATACTGAAGACATGCTTGGGAAATAGTCAAATTAGCTCCACAGGAAGAAATTTCAGACAACATACTGTGGCTGACTTCTGGCTGGATGCAGAATTGGGCCTCTCTGTTTCTGAATGTGTTGAATGGGATGTTAATTTTTTTCCTTCTTCCTCATTGTCAGTCTCCTCTTCATCAAAGTTCAAACTACCTGAGATACCTGGCAGAAAAGGAAGAACTGTCAGTTACTTGCCAACACTAACTTAAAAAATTTTTTTTGAAGAAAAGATAGTTTTAATTTTCTTACCTAAAATATTCCTAACTATTCTTATGCCAAACACAGCTATTTTATCCAAAATTTTTTAAATAAATTTTTTGAACTTATCTTTTTATTTTAATTTTTTTCTTTTTTTTTTCTTAGCCTAGGCATTACATGGACAAATTTTTATCCAAAATTTTGACAATTATTCATAGTCTCACATTCATCTCTTGTTTTCCCTTCCACTGCTCCCACCTAATTTAGCTCTTTAAAAAAAAAAAACTCATATAATAGGTATAGGGCTCAGGAGTTCGAGATCAGCCTGAGCAACACTGAAACCCTGTCTATACTAAAAACAGAAAAATTAGCCAGGCATGGTGACGAGCGCCTATAGTTCCAGCTACCCTGGGGGCTGAGGCAGGATGATCACATGAGCCCAAGAATGTGAGGTTACAGTGAGCTACAATAACACCACGGCACTCTTGCCAGGGCAAAAAAAAAAGTCTAATGGGAAAACATTTGCAAATTATGTATCTAACAAGGGGTTAATATCTAGAATATATAAAGAACTCCTACAATTCAACAAAACAAGCAACTAATTAAAAAATGAGCAAAGGACTTAAATAGATATTTCTCCAAAGATGTACATACGGCCCTTGAGCACTTTAAGAGATGATTAACATTACTAGTCATTAGGGAAATGCCTATCAAAACCATAGTGAGATACCACTTCACATCCATTAGATGACTACTATTTTTTTAAAAAATGGAAAACAACAAATATTGGTAAAGATGTAGAGAAACTGGAACCCTTGTGCACTGTTGGTAGAACTGTAAAATTGTGCAGCTGCTGTGGAAAATGGTATAATGATTACTAAAAAAATTAAACATAGAATTACCATATGATCCAACAATTCTACTTTGGGCTATATAAACAAAGAAAGCAGAACCTGAATAGATATTTGTACACAAATCTTCACAGCAGTAATGTTCACAGACTGCAAACAACCCAAATGTCCATCAACTGATGAATACACAAATTGTGATATATGTATACAACTGAATATTATTCAACCTTACATGGAATAAAATTCTGATACATGCCACAATATGGATGAACTTTGAAGACATTATGCTAAGTGAAATAAACCAGACACAAAAGGACAAATTTTGCATGATTCCACTTATTTACAAGTAGACTTAAAACAGTGTGGCTTTTTTTCTTCCTGTTCATATTCAACCATCTCATAAAAGAGAAAACAATGATCTATTTTTACACAGTGCATAAATAAATTCGTTATTAGCTTTACTCAAGGAAACCCAAGGATAAGACAAAACTCAGTTTAAAAAAATCAGTCTCAAGAGAAAACTTATACATGAACATTCATAGCAACATTATTGATAACACCCAAAAGTGGAAACAACTGAAACGTCCATCAACTGATAAACAAAATGTAGTTTATCCACACAATGGAATGTTATACAACAATGAAAAGGACTGAAGTACTAATACATGCTACAACATGGATGCACCTTGAAAACATCATGCCAAGTGAAAGAAACCATTCAGGCTGGACACGGTGGCTCACACCTGTAATCCTAGCACTCTGGGAGGCCAAGACGGGGAGGATCGCCTGACCTCAAGAGTTCAAGACCAGCCTGAGCAAGAGTAAGACTCATCTGTACTAAAAATGGAAAAATTAGCCAGGCATGGTGGCGCATGCCTGTAGTCCCAGATACTCAGGAGGCTGAGGCAGGAGGATTGCTTGAGCCCAGGAGTTTGAGGTTGCTGTAAGCTAGGCTAATGCCACGGCACTCTAGACCAGGCAACAGAGCAAGACTGTCTCAAAAAAAAAAAGACCACATATGATTCTATTTATATGAAATATTCAGAATAGGCATATCTACAGAGACAGAAAGTAGATTGGTGGAGAGGGCTGGGGGGATTGGATTCGAGGGAAATGGGGAGTTACTGCTAATGGGTATGAGGCTTCTTTTGGGGGTGATGAAAATGTTCTAAAATTGTGATAATGGTTGTAAAACTCTGAATATACTGAAAAACCAATGAATTATTCACTTTAAATGGGTAAACTATATGACATGTAATTTATATCTCAAAAAGCTGTTATTAAACAAAATTCTTTGGTTTGTTAAGGATATTGTTTTCTTCTGCTTTCTAAAATGTTAACCTTATTTTTGGTAGCAAAAAGGCAGAAAACTCATGAGATATTACTATCATATGGGTATCTTTTTGGTTTTGGGGGGTTTTTTGAGACAGAGTCTCACTCTGTTGCCCTGGCTAGAGTGCTGTGGCGTCAGCCTAGCTCACAGCAACCTCAAACTCCTGGGCTCAAGCGATCCTCCTGCTTCAGACTCTAGAGTAGCTGGGACTACAGGCATGCGCCACCATGCCCGGCTAATTTTTTATATATATTTTTTAGTTGTCCAGCTAATTTTCTATTTTTAGTAGAGACAGAGTGTCACTCTTGCTCAGGCTGATCTCAAACTCCTGAGCTCAAACAATCTACCCGCCGCGGCCTCCTAGAGTGCTAGGGTTGCAGGCGTGAGCCACCGCGCCCGGCCACATGGACATCTTCACTTAGCTGTGCTCTCAAATGCCACTTTTATACTAAGAACTCAGTTCTTGTGAATAGCGGCCTTAAAACAGAGATCAAAGATCTCTTCCCAAACGTTTAAAACAAGCAAATTGGACCTACTTAAGGGACACAATCTGCCAAACTGATACTCTTAGAAATTAATCAAGGGAGCACTTAATAGGTATTATAGTCAAAATACAACTTGTTGAGACATGAAAAGGCATTAATTCATCTGGCACTGAAAGACCAATTCTGAGAAAGAACAAAGCAATCATTTCAAAGGGCACTGCAAAAGGAAACAACTTGCTATTTATAGTCAGGGATAAAGAACTAGCCTAAGAATCAGAAAATCCAGGTCTGCCACTATTCAGCCAGATGACTTGGGGTAAGTAATTTTTCTTTGGTTAAATAGACAGCTCTCTTTGCTCTGACTCCTCCTATCTTGTCCAACCACATCTTTCACTTTCTTTTGTTGTCAAAATATTGGTAGTAAAGTAGTAGGGAAGTACCATGCTCACCTTCACGTTACAGACAGGGAAACCGAGGTAGAGAAAAGTGAGGGTGTTTGCCCCCCTTTCCAGCCAGAAGTGGCAGAGTTGAGATTTAAAACCCAGCCAGTCAGGCCGGGCGCGGTGGCTCACGCCTGTAATCCTAGCACTCTGGGAGGCCGAGGCGGGCGAATCGCTCTCAAGGTCAGGAGTTCGAAACCAGCCTGAGCAAGAGCGAGACCCCGTCTCTACTATAAACAGAAAGAAATTAATTGGCCAACTAATATATAGAGAAAAAAATTAGCCGGGCATGGTGGCGCATGCCTATAGTCCCAGCTACTTGAGAGGCCTAGGCAGCAGGATGGCTTGAGCCCAGGAGTATGAGGTTGCTGTGAACTAGGCTGACGCCACGGCACTCACTCTAGCCTGGGCAACAAAGCAAGGCTCTGTCTCTAAAAAAAAAAAAAAAAAAAAAAATACCCATCCAGCCAGCCCCAGAGCTATGCCCTATCCATTTCAGCACACTGCTTTTGCTGCACCTTGCACTCTGCTCATCCGTCTCAGTTTGCCTAGATCGGTGGTCCTAGGACTGGGGGGATTGGAGAGAAAAGGGGAGCCACTGCTAATGGGTATGAGGCTTTTTTTGGGGTGATGAAAATGTTCTAAAATTGATTGTGATAATGGTTGCAAAACTCTGAACATATTGAAAATCTATGAAATATCTCATGTTTCCATACCTGGATGCCTTTGTGAGTACTATTTATTCTGCCTAAGTTTGCCACTTAACTAGAGGCATGATCTAGGACAAATGTCTTTGCTTCTCTAAGAACTAACTTTCTTATGTATAAAATGGGAGAGACAAACACATAAAAACCACTCAAAGGCCGGGCGCGGTGGCTCACGCCTGTAATCCTAGCACTCTGGGAGGCCGAGGCGGGCGAATCGCTCTCAAGGTCAGGAGTTCGAAACCAGCCTGAGCAAGAGCGAGACCCCGTCTCTACTATAAACAGAAAGAAATTAATTGGCCAACTAATATATAGAGAAAAAAATTAGCCAGGCATGGTGGCACATGCCTGTAGTCCCAGCTACTTGGGAGGCTGAGGCAGGAGGATTGCTTAAGCCCAGGAGTTTGAGGTTGCTGTGAGCTAGGCTGACGCCACAGCACTCACTCTAGCCAGGGCAACAAAAGTGAGACTCTGTCTCAAAAAAAAAAACAAAAAAACACTCAAAGTATTGTTACGAATAATGAATCAAATGAGATAATGCACATCAAGTGCCTGCCATACACCAGATGTTCAAAGTGTCAGTTCCCAGCCAACACCAGCACAGAGACAGACATGCTCCCTTCTCTCAGCTCAGCCTGATCCCACTCCCTCTCCTCCCTGGGCCTTTCTCAGCCCTTCTCATGCCCCCACTCAGTAATTCCAGGTCTCCTGCAATTCCAGGTCTCCTGCTTCATGCTCCTGCATGCACCACACTACGCGGTAACTCTAGGCCAGGCCATCAGTCAAATCATCTCCTAACTGGCTTTCCTGCTTCCTGACTTGACCCTCCAACCCCTTTTACATGGTGCAGAGTAATTTTTCTACAGCCCAAGCACAATCATAACATTCTTCAGCCTAAATTCCCTCACAGGTTCCTATATCTCTGTAGATAAAGTCCCAGTTCCTGATGTGGTCCATTAGGTCCCATATAAGTAGAGGCCACGTCCTTCTCTGGGCTCTTTTGTCTACATCCCCCTCCCCACCTATCACCTTACCACCTTAACTAAGCTGCTGGCATTCTGAGCTGGCCAGTGCCTCTTGCTATGTCAGGCCCTAGCTCAGACATCACTGTCTCTGGGAAGCCTTCCAAACCGCCAAGTCTGGGTGAGGAGCCCTTCCTGGTGCTTTCTCAACACCCTGACTTCCCACCTCCAGACTATTTAAGTGCATGCTGCCTCAATTAGAATTGAGCCTCAATTGAATTAGACAGGAGGCCTTCCATGAGGGCAGGAACCATATTTACCTAGGATAATGCCAGAGATATAGTACATGCTCAAAACATATACTATATGAATGAATATTTCTTGAACTCCTGACCTCAAGCAGTCCTCCGACCTCAGCCTCCCAGAGTGCTAGGATTACAGGCGTGAGCCACCGAGCCAACCGAGAGCCTACTGTCTGCCATTTGAAGTTCTCATGTCCGTAAGTATTCCTGTACATTTCAAAGGTCCCTTATAGTCTTCTTTCCTCCTGGGAAAAATGATTTGACAGTGAGAAGGAACCAAGTGTCCCCTTTTCAGATGACAAAACTGAAGCCCAATAAATATCTATTTGGTGCCTGCTTTGTATCTGGTTGGAATTGTTAGGTCCTGGGATATATGAATCAGGAGAGTCATTCATTTTCTAAATGAATGAATGAATATATGGATTTGTTTGAACATCCACTTATTCTACCATTCTGTGGTAGACTCTCCTGATTCATATATCCCAGGACCTAACAATTCCAACCAGATACAAAGCAGGCACCAAATAGATATTTATTGGGCTTCAGTTTTGTCATCTGAAAAGGGGACACTTGGTTCCTTCTCACTGTCAAATCATTTTTCCCAGGAGGAAAGAAGACTATAAGGGACCTTTGAAATGTACAGGAATACTTACGGAAATGAGAACTTCAAATGGCAGACAGTAGGCTCTCGGTTGGCTCGGTGGCTCACACCTGTAATCCTAGCACTCTGGGAGGCTGAGGTCGGAGGACTGCTTGAGGTCAGGAGTTCAAGACCAGCTTGAGCAAAAAAAAAAAAATAGAACACTTAGCCAGGCCTGATGGTATGTAGTCCCAGCTACTTGGGAGGCTGAGCCAGGAGAATTAGCTGAGTCTAGGAGTTTGAGGTTGCTGTGAGCTATGATGACACCACTGCACTACTCTAGCAGGAAGATAGAGTGAGACTTGTCTCAAAAAAAAAAAAAGTAGGCTCGAGCTCGAGATCATCATGAACTATGAAATTGAAGTGGAGCAGTGGTATTAAGTGGTATTCGCTTTGTCAAAAGAAGGTGGAAGCTGAAAATAAATGGCCAAAAAATGAGAAAGTCATATATAGCAGATAATATATTATTTATATTTGATTTAATTATCTTATTTTTCTCAGGCAGTAGTATAACTACTACTTTTTTTTTTTTTTTTTGAGAGACAGGATCTTGCTCTGTAGCCCAGGCTGAGGTACTGTGGCTTGATCATAGCTCACTGCAACCTCAAACTTCTGGGCTCAAGCAATCCTCCTACCTCAGCCTCCCAAGTAGCTAATAGTAGCTAGGACTACAGGCACACACCACCATGCCTGGCTAATTTTTTTAAATGTTTTGCAGAGATGGGATCTTGCTATGTTGCCCAGGCTGACCTCGAACTCCTGGACTCAAGCAATCTCCCCACCCGACCTCCCAAAGTCCTGGGATCACAGGTGTGAGCTACTATGTCCGACCATTATGAGCAATTCTGAGTCACCTAGATTGTCAACCACAATGAAAGAAAGTAAAGGAAAAGATTACAAACGATTAGGAAGACAAACTGCCTTCAAATCATGACGAATCCTCACCATGTTTCTGGAGAATCTCCTGAAGACCTGGCTTGGAAGCAGCATCCAAGGTGCCTTCCCCACCGACACTGCCTTCAGTATCTTCTTCTGTAGCAGAAGAGCCTACCGAAGGAACGTGAAGTTTGGTTTCTAAATCTTGAGCATCTGGCTTCAGGAAGGCAGCTGGACCATCAATGCCTAGGGCCCAAAAGAAAAAAAGAGAGGAAAGTGTTATCCACTATTTAGCTGGGTGGTTTTGGTGAATGTGATCAGAACTAAGAATGACCAAATCATTTCATCTCTTCTCCTTCCTTAACACCCACAGGAACACCTGTTAAGAGAGTAGTCCAGGCCTGGTGTTCATTTTATTAGCATCCTCTCTTAGTGAAGTAACATGTACCTCATGCTGTGCTTTAGAAATTTAAGAATGAGGTCAAGAAAACAAAGTAGGTGCTCCATAGCACAGATCAGCCCAAGCCAAGAGCTCAGGGGACTTGACTTAAAGGCTCTTAATCCTATTCTACGCCCCACCCCCCCAGATGATCCTTTGAGCCAGCTACTGGAAGAATGGTGCTGTCTTCTAACTCCTGGCTTCATGGTTAACCTCTGGCAAGATGTAACAATCAAAACTGTAAGCTCTTCAAATAGGCCATTCAGACTAATTCATTTGGCACGTAAAAACAACAGTTCTAGGATGGAATGAACTTTAAGGCATCTTCCACTGATTAGACCATTGCTTTTATTCTACTCAAAGACCCAGAATGTGATTATCCAAAGGTACCTAGAAACGACGCTAATGTTGTCCCTTTGGTCCATCTGAGAACCTTCCTGCCTTCTCCTAGGTTTTGTGAAAATTGTCCCCCAGCAGGAAGTAATGCTGCCTGAATACACACCATGTAGGATGACGTCGTTATGAGGAGTATGAGGTTCCACTAAAGGAGTATGCTCCTCACTGCCTCTGGGCTTTGACCGACATAGCCTGGCTTCTGGATTTGGCTGTACCATGAGTGGGTCAAGGCGCTTTTTTCTTTGCTTCTTCTCCAGCAGTGCTCTCTAGGAAAGAAATGTGATACTACAGCCAGGAGAGTTATACCAAGACCTAGCCACTTTGAATATTTATAACTTGTTTTTCATTGATCCTCACAAAAACTCCTGTAAATTAATTTTTTCCCACTTAAGAAATGGGAAAACCACTGCCTTTGCTCTTTATAAATGTTTTCTTTTTTGTAATGTTAAATATAACATTTATTAAGGAATAATTCCTCAAATAAAAAAATACTTATTTAATTAGGGAGTATAGCTCTATGGCAATTACTGTTTGAAGATAATTTGTCTCTGACTATTTTGTAATAAAATACAACTTGTGGTTTTGTGGGAAAAAAAAAAGAAATAGGAAAACTGAGGGAAGATTACCATACAAAGACGAGGCAGACACTGGAGTAACAAAGCTGCACGCCAGGAGTGCCAAGATGATCAGAGACCACCAGGAAAGAGGCATGGGGCCAACTATCCCTTTGATCCTTCAAAAAGAAACACCCTGCTAACACCTTAATTTTGACTCTGGCCTCCAAAATTGTGAGAGCATCATTCCTCTAGTGAAAGAAAAGAAAAGAAAAGAAAAGAAAGAAAAGAAAGAAAAGAAAGAAAGAAAGAAAGAAAGAAAGAAAGAAAGAAAGAAAGAAAGAAAGAAAGAAAGAAAGAAAGAGGAAAATTGAGATAAAGAAAGTAGGAAGGATTCATTCCTTTCACTTAACAAATGTTTATCAAATACCTATAAAGATCTAATTAAAATCACAAAATGCATTTCTAGCCAAGCAGATTCAAGTCTACTGAAAATATGGTAATTATCAATATCATATCATTATCAAAGTATGATCACAAGTTCAAAACATAAACATATATGCATAAAGGAAAAGAGGGAAGACCACATCAATGGTGACTTCTTTGGGTGGCAGACTACGAACAATTATTTCCATTTTTCTAGTTTTTATTTTCCAAATTTTCTAACTTTTTAATTTTTTTATTTTTAGTAGAGATGGGGTCTTGGTCTTGCTCAGCTGGTCTCAAACTCCTGAGTTCAAGTGATCCTCCTGCTTCAGCCTCCCAGAGTGCTATCTAACTTCTGTAATCGGAAGAAAAAAATTTTATTTTCCTCTGAACCTCAATTACTTCATGTTCTAATCAGCCAAAGAGCAATAAGTTTTGCCTTCTTCTTATTATTTTTTTGAGACAGAATCTCGCTCTGTTGCTTGGGCTATAGTACCATAGTGTCAGCCTAGCTCACAGCAACCTCAAACTCCTGGGCTCAAGTGATCCTCCTGCCTCAGCCTCCTAAGTAGCTGGGACTACAGGGCACACCACTACACTTGGCTAATTTCCTTTTTTCTATTTTTAGTTACCCAGCTAATTTTTTCTATTTTTAGTAGAGACAGGGTCTCACTCTTGCTCAGGCTGGTCTTAAACTCCTGAACTCAAGTGATCCTCTTGCCTCAGCCTCCCCAAAGTGCTAGGATTACAGGTGTGAGCCACCACGCCTGGCCTAAATTGTGCCTTCTTGCTCATCTTACATAATTAGAAATCAAACAAATTTGGGCCAAGGGTGAAAAAAAAAAAGTCAGCTGAAACATAACAAACAGAAAGCAATGAACTCTGTGGATTAAAACAAAATATAGAATATTATAGCAAAAAAAGTCAGGAAAAAAAAGCATGAGAGACTATATGAGAAAAAGTCCAATGAAATGGGAAAAGAAAGTACTAGCACATATACTTTGAAACTTTGGTAAATAAGAGCTTCTAACACAGAAATAATTATGGATCTGGGATATCTCTGAATAAGAAAAATGCCAAGCCCCAAGCTAAAAAATAAAGCCATGATTAAAAAGCAAATATATTACAACCTACTTACTCCTGTTTTTTAGGCAAAAAGCCACCTATTTATTTTTTTTCATTGATTCTGCTTTTAGAAAAGTACCTCTAGGAAAAAGAGCCACTCCAAGGGATAAGACTATCCATAGGAAAGGAAGGAGTGGTGGCTGGGTGGGGGGAAAAATAGGAAAGGAAGTAAGTTTTTCCTGAACTGGGCTGATGATGCAGATAAATTCAAAAGATAAAGAAGAAATAGGCTGGGTGTGTGGTGGCTCACGCCTGTAATCCTAGCACTCAGGAGCTTGAGGTTGCTGTGAGCTAGGCTGACGCCATGGCACTTTAGCCCTGGCAACAGAGTGAGACTCTGTCTCATAAAAAAAAAAAAAGAAAGAAAGAAGGCCGGGCAGAGTGGCTCACGCCTGTAATCCTAGCACTCTGGGAGGCTGAGGCGGGTGGATTGCTCGAGTTAAGGAGTTCGAAACCATCCTGAGCAAGAGCGAGACCCCCCCTCTCTAGTATAATTAGAAAGAAATTAATTGGCCAACTAATATATATAGAAAAAATTAGCCAGGCATGGTGGCGCATGCCTGTAGTCCCAGCTACTCGGGAGGCTGAGGCAGAATGATGGCTTGAGCCCAGGAGTTGGAGGTTGCTGTGAGCTAGGCTGACACCACAGCACTCACTCTAGCCTGGACAACAAAGCGAGACTCTGTCTCAAAAAAAAAAAAGAAAGAAAGCCATTCTTTTTTTACTTAACCTGTATATATAGGGAAAAGACTGGGGAGTTAAGACAATGTGCCACCATGGACTATATCATCAAGAATAAATAGACGTTATTTCATTGACTTTTATTCCATGTTAAAAAAAAAAAAAAGAATGAACAGATGTTAGAGTAAGAAATTTAATATTTTGAGATTTCATGAATTATGACATACAGGACTTTAATGTGCCAGGAACATTAAATACATAGGAAGCTATAATAAGTTCTTCCCCATAGAATTTGCTGGTAAGATTCGTCTAGCAACTCAGAGGTCTTGTATAATGGATGAGAAATAACCCACCTGAAGAGACAAGTTATTTCTCATGTTTTCTGTAAATCTGAAGTACAGAAAACAGTAGAGGCCGGGCGCGGTGGCTCACACTTGTAATCCTAGTACTCTGGGAGGCCAAGGCGGGCGGATTGCTCAAGGTCAGGAGTTCAAAACCAGCCTGAGCGAGACCCCGTCTCTACTATAAAAACAGAAAGAAATTAATTGGCCACTAATTATAATATATATAAATAAAAATTAGCCAGGCATGGTGGCTCGTGCCTATAGTCCCAGCAACTCGGGAGGCTGAGGCAGTAGGATTGTTTGAGCCCAGGAGTTTGAGGTTGCTGTGAGCTAGGCTGACGCCACGGCACTCACTCTAGCCTAGGCAAGAAAGCGAGACTCTGTCTCAAAAAAAAAAAAAAAAAAAAGAAAGAAAGAAAACAGTAGAAACTGCCATATTTTATCTATGTGGCCACCACTATTTAGTGTCTCCTCATATATACAGTCTCATAACTGTGAAATGAAAAACACAAGCTATAGCCTAATCCATTTTATTAACATATATAAGGAAAAAATGTTCTATAGAAAAGAAGTATTCTGCTTATAGTCTAGAGAAGAGAGGCCAAAGAACTAGAATTTGACAGAGTTTATCCAGTCTGTCCAACAAAGAGAAATACTGAATCTGGTAGACAAGAGTATTCTATTTACTAGGTGAGCTTACTCTCTGAGGACAGGAAACAGTACAAGGCTTCTTAAAAACTCTGATTAAATAACCCTCGGTACTACCTAGTTTCATTGCCTCTGAGTCTTTGCTTACCAATCAGCCTTCTAATTTTCAATTTAACTTCATCAATATCGTATTCCCAGGAAAAGAGCATCATGAACAGTAGAGATGAATACACACTGAAAGAGTAGAGTTCCTATTGCAAATTAATAACTTGGTGTCCTGGTCTTATAATTTACTGGTGTGACTTCAACTAGAGTGAGTTTATGCCAAAGGACCTAGTTACATCCAGTTCACTGACAAACCATGGTGATTCTGCCAAGGTATCTGGGGAAGCCACTCTATCAGCCTCGACACCCATCAAATTCATTTAGACCAACAACAAGAAAAACAACTGTAGACTCAAATTAAACTTCAGGGGCCAGGTGCGGTGGCTCAGGCCTGTAAATCTAACACTTTGGGAGGCCTAAGCAGGAGGACTGGCTGAGGTCAGGAGATTGAGACCAGTCTGAGGAACATAGCGAGACCCCGTCTCTACATAAAGTAGAAAAATTAGCTCAGCATGGTTGTGCGTGCCTATAGTCCTAACTACTTGGGAGGCTGAGGCAGGAGGACTGCTTGAGTTCCGGAGTTTAAGTTGCAGTGAGCTATGATCATGTCACTGCCCTCATGCCCAAGCAAAAAGTGAGACTCTGTTTCAAAAAAATAAATAAATAAAAATTAAATTTAAAATTTTAAAAATAAAAATAAAAATAAAAGCAAAATATACTCAATGGGAAAGTATTTTAATAAATGATGTTAGAACAACTGGATGTCCACATGCAAAAAGGCCATCTCACAGTATATATAACTCAAAATGGACCATATATAAACAGAATAAGTTCTAGCATTCAATAGCACAGTAGGGTGACTACAGTTAACAATAATTTATCGCATATTTTGAAATAGCTAGAAGAGACGATTTAAAATGTTCCCAATAGAAATGATAAATGAGATGGTGGGTATGCTAATTATCCTGAACTGATCACTATACATTGTATGTACTGAAACATCACTATATACTTCATAAATATGTACAGTTATTATGTGTCAATTTTTAAAAATTTTTTAAAAAGGATATACAAATGGCCATTAAGCCAATAAATGCTCAACATCATTAATCATTATGATAATGCAAATCAAAACTACAATGAGATATCACTTCACATCCACTAAAATGGCTCTAAATCAAAGACAGACAATAACAAGTGTTGGTAAGAATATGGAAAAACCGGAAGCATCATACAACGCTGATGAGAATGTAAGATGGCTCAGCCTTCTGGAAAATAGCTTAGCAGTTCCTTAAAATGTTTAACACAGAGTTACTACATTGCCCAGAAATTCTGCTCCTAGGTATACACCTAAGAGAAGTGATAACATGTCCACACAAAACCTTGTACACAGATAATCAGAGCAGCCTTATTTATAATAGTTAAAAAGTGGAAACAAGTCAAATTCCATCAACTGATGAATGAATAAACAAAATGTGGTATATACACATACCATTATGTTATTTGACAATAAAAAGGAATAAAGTAATGATATATTCTACAACATTGATGAACCTGATCCTAAGTCAAAGAAGCCAGATACAAAAAAACCACATATTGTATGATTCCATTTATGAGATTTAAAAATCATTTGTATACTTTATCTCAGTGTATATTTATGGTAAGATGAATTATATCTCAATAAAGCTGTTTAAAAATCTATATGGGGCCAGGTGTGGTGGCTCATATCTGTAATCCCAGTACTTTGGGAGGATAGCTTGAGGTCAGGAGTTTGAGACAAGCCTGGGCACCATAGTGAGACCCTGTCTCTATACAAAATAATTTTTTAAAAAATTAGCGGGGGGGGGGCAATATATATAACCTTAACATTTGTATCCCCATAATATGCTGGAAAAAAATAATAAAATAAAATAAAATTAGCCAGGCACAGTGGTGCATGCCTGTAGTCCCTGCTACTTGGCAGGCTGAGGCA